GGGAGAAGGGGAATCTGGGGAGCTAATTAAATGCCACATTCAGTGGATTACTGTCATTTAGATGCAAACTTTGTTTAGATTATAATTAGTTGTCATCCTTTGAGTTAATATTTAAGAACTGGCTAGCTCCTTCACATGTACAGAGCTAGAATCCCACGAATTGGAAAATGGTTGCTTTTGCAGTTATATTTAAGAAATAAATCATTCTCCCTGTGTTTATTTTTTACTTTTTCAATCCTTCGTTTAAAAAAGAATCCTTTCAGGAGTTGCAACCCAATCTCGTCTGTAAAAATTAATTTTTTTATACATCTACATAAAATGCTTTTTTTCTGACCGTAAAGGATTAATTTTGCATTATTAACAAGCGTATAAAAAGCAGCTCGGGGTAAATCTGTCTCCAGCTGGGCTGAACAGTGTTTTCTAAACGAGTTTAAACACCGGGACGAGAGCCAAGCTTCATAACTTTCGCACACTGGTTTGTGTAAACTTAAAGCAGTGACGTTCTTTGTGGTGGTCCTGTTCCACGGACTGATTTTGACTCTTGCCAACCTGCGCCGAATACTTTCCGGGATTGGGTAAGCAGAGCGCGTCCCTCCAGAGAGAGGGAGGGAGAGCATTCCATCCCAACAATCTAATCCATCTCTGGGATTTCCATGTGTAGGTGGAACGCCTGGAATTCTCAGGTTGGTTTGGATACGCTTAATAACAATAAAAATCCTTGCATTTGACACAGCGCCTTATCACGTCTTTGAGACGCCTCGAAGCGGATTCACAGAACATACTGTAAAGTGAATGGACTGTAATATTTTGTGGCCGAAATAGGGCTGTAAATCTGCTACCGTGCCGGTGCTGTGCGCTAACCCACATCAGCCAAGCCAGGACAGAGCCCACAGGCGAGGGAGGGATTGGTGGAAAAGGGATCCTATAACTAATTTTCACTTCAGACAGTGACTTCAGCTGCTGAGCCATCCAAAGCGATTGTGTTTATTCTAACGACCATGAACACAAACTCTTCCTTAAATGTTAACTACACTCTTTACTCAGTTGCCATGGAACTATTTACTTACTATTTACGTCCACTCATTGCTGTCTGATCTGCGCTACAACAAAAGAAATCGCAGAATAAATTAGCATGAAATGTGCCAACGTACGTGAGGAATATATTAAAATTCCCCGGTTTTCAGACCCTGAATTCTTTCATGCTGCAAATCCTTGTTGCATGGTAGCTGCTTGCAGTCGCACCTAATCGTGTGTTAGCCGGGTTCAGTGGTGCCTCGCTCACTTCTTGAGACTGAAGGTTGTGGGTTCAATCTCCAAATCGGGATTTTGAGTTCACGAACGATGGCTGATATCAGTACAAGTGGCAATTATAGATGGCTGAAAGCACGGTCAAAGAGGAAGGTCTTGAGGCTGTCACTCAATCCATGACTGTTTGTGGGACACTGCCGTGCGCAATTTAGCTGCCGGGTTTTTCCCACAAATACACAGTCAATTCACTTTACAGTGTATCCTGTGAAGGCCTTTGAGACGTCTCAAAAACGGGATCAGGCCCTGTATCAAATGCAAGGATTATTATTATTAAGGTTACGCGAAGTAGTAGTTTACCCGAGTCCTTGCGTTTGATTCAGGAGCTGCTGTGTTTTGTAAGTGAAATTCATTAGTCATTTAATCTCGTCTTAAATCTGTACAGTTCTCTTTCATCTGCGACCTCAAATAATCAGTGTAAAGCTGGAGTTGGGCTTTGATCAGGTCTTTGATTCAGAATACCTCGGCTCCACTTTTCTATTGTAGCTCCAGTGACTCGTTGGGATCAGGAGGCGTGGAGGGCTGGGATGGTGGGGTTAGGAAGGTGACCCCATAAAACAGACCCTCTGGGAAATAGAGAGAGAGAGAGAGAAAAAAATTGGTTAATTCCCTGACAATCGTTGACTTGTATTGATCAAATCTTTGACTATGTGCCGACCAGGCAACTTAGCTGTGACGAGCATGACTGATAATGTAGAACGCACACTTGCGTGTGTTTCCATTGCTTCCAGTTTCCTCTCTGTTGTCAGGTCCCTGAAGGTTAAATACAATCGCCAAGACTGTGAGGAATTAATCACATCCCCTGCAGGGTCTTCCTGCTAATCTAGATTACGGGAGACAAAATGCCTTCAGGCTTCCAAATATAGCCACCCTGAGGAAGTATCCTTGGGATTCCTTTCATTATCACTCACCTTAAAGTATTGTGAATCTGTATATTCGTAATAAATAGTTTCATTCGCTCAGCGGTCTCCAGCCTGCTCCACATCCCCCTGCCCGACCTGCCCGACCTGCCCTACCATTGGCGGTTAGGCCTTCACCCTCTCTGCCCCCACCCTCTGGAACTCCATCCCACATTCCCTCCACCTCGCCCCCTCCCTCGCCTCCTCCAAAGCCCGTCTCAATTACCTCCTCTTCGATGGTGCTTTCGGTCACCCTCCTCCCCCCCCTAACCCCCCCCCCATGCCCTCCACCCACCACTCCTGATCCCAACCCCCAGCTCGGGTCCAAATCCCTGACCGTCTCTGCCAGCGCCTTGGGATGTCCTCCTGACGTGAAAGGAATGGAATTTGTTTCACAATGGTAAAAAAAATCCCCCAAATTTGACAATCAGTGCTCGCCTCCTAAAAAAGTCACAATTTAGACCTTGTGACGATTTTCAGTGCAAAAATTTAATTTGTGGCACATGATTCATTGATGTCCGTACAAAGAGGGTGTTTGTATTTGAATCTAGTTCCACTGCAAAGTTAAGCTCACTCACTGCCTAAAGCTTGTGGGAAAAATTGCTTTGAAAGTTTATAGGCATTCCCTTCTCTGGTGCTCAGTGCGGCTTTAACCCCTTGGAGGCTTTAATAATAATAATAATCCTTGCTTTCGATATAGCGCCTTATCACGTCTTCAGGGACGCCTCCAAGCGCTTCACAGAATATGCTTTAAAGTGTAGTGGCTGTGTACTTTGTGGGAGAAACGCGGCAGCTAAATTGCGCACAGAAGAGTCCTCACAAACAGTCGTGGATTGAGCTATCACGTTTTTTTTGGAGGGATTATTACCCCCAGCAAGCGATCCGCCAATCGACGACTAATAACCGGGTTCCTACTTACTGCTGGTAAACAGAGGCGCGCGCGTGTGCGCGTGTGGAGTAAGGAAACTTGCCAAAGATTTCACCCTGACCTGCTCCGCCCGGGAATCGAACCCAGGTCCTCTCACTTGCAAGGCGTGCTCTCTAACCACTGATTCTCACCTGCCGAACCTCGTTATCTCGGTTTCCCTGCCACAGGGAGGCACAGAGGCGAAGGCCGACACTTCCTGGCAGGAAGGAGAGGAAATTGGGTAGAAGAATTAGTCAGTGGTGTCAGCAAAGCTCCACTGATTGCTTTCCCCATCAGCATTGTTAGCGACGTGGAATGTGTGAGGTTCACGGGGAAAACAGCCTTAAACATAGAGGGAATCTCCTTTTTAACAAAAAAAATCTGGGAATACCGTCAACATAATGACTGTTTGTTCCTCTAGTCACCGTTGATCATAATCCGCCTCCTCTTCCTACAAAATGACGCTGTGCATCTTAATAATAATAAGAAGAATCCTTGCATTTGATACCGCGTGTTTCATGTCTCAAAGGGCTTCACAGACTATATCGTAAAGTGAATTGACTTTATATTTTGCGGGCGAAACGCGGCAGCTCATTGCGCACAGCAGCGTCCCCCACAAACAGCGTGGATTGAAGTGAACAATTTTATTGCTGTGTTTTTTTTCTCGAATGAAGTGCAACAGATTCCGCACCTGTATTTTTTAAAGATGAAATGTGTCACGACTTAAGGTCATAGAAATTATAGCACATACTGCTCTCTCTCTCTCTCTCTCTCTCTCTCTCTCTCTCTCTCACCCCCACCTCCCCAACCCGGAGCCAGCGTAGGATTAGCTCAGGATGTCCAGATGTGCTTCACACACAATAGACAGTCGAAACAATAAGCACTGATTCATTGCTGCAGCTGAATGTAGACATAAAAGGCAGGTCGGGGCTGTGGTGGCTTCAAGTTTCTTTATCAAAACGAGAGGTGCGCATTATCTCCCTCCCAGGAGTGGAAACGCTACACCTCTAATGTGGGCTTTGTGTCAACCGAAAGCCTTTATCCAACCTGTTCCCTTCTTGTCGGTGACCAAGAGAACCTTAAAAGGTGATGCTCTGCCACTTGATTAGCCCCGAAGGCCATTGATAACTTGTGAGGTGCATTAATGGATAATGGCAAATAGGTTATTAACGAGTATAAAGCCAGTCATTTCTCCTCCGAGCCTCCAGTTCAACCTGAGTTCACTTCTTCTCTCTTCCCCCCAACCGACCTTCTATGAAGGTTACTTTTAGATCTGCCACTAATTTTATTGCCCTTGAAAGTGTGAAGGTCTAAGTGGGTTCAGTTTCAGAGCCAGATGATCATGTTGGCTCGGGTCAGCCGGGTGTCTTGACACATCCATCACCGTGCTTGTCCAGCCAGGACCGCCCTCCCCGTTAGTTATTTAGTTAGTTAGTCAGTTAGGGCCTTGGCTGCAGGGTTAACAGGAGCTGAGGGGGTGGATTCCCTGCCCCCACTGACTGGTCAGCCCTTCCAGGTCCAGCTGATGAGCCGGGCCGGGCTGGGCTGTCATCGCGTGTGAGATACCCTGTATGTTAATAGTAATAATAATAATGATGACCCTTGCATTTGATACAGCGTCTTATCACGTCGTTAAGACGTCTCAGAGCGCTTCATAGGATATACTGTAAAGTGTAGTGACTGTGTATTTTGTGTTAGAAACGTGGCAGCCAATTGCACACAGCAGCCCACACAAACAGTGGGTGGATTGAACAACCAAATTATTATTATTATTATTAATATTATTATGGTGTAATGTTTAGATGATTCCCAGCATTGTTGAGCGTGTTGGAGTGCACTCGGTCTGCGTGGATCTTGACTGGTGGGTGTCTGTGTTCTGTCTCTCGCAGAGTGGCCCAGGCCTACGTGAACCAGCGGAAACTGGATAACGAAGTGAAGACGTTACAGATCCAGGCGGCATACTTTGCCAAACAGACGCAGCAGTGGCTCGGGATGGTGGAGAACTTCAACCAGGCCCTCAAGGTACATCCTGTCCTGTCCTGGCCTATTGGGGTTGTCCCGAGCGTCTGGGAACCGAAGCACACGGAAACTAGCGGAGATTAGCAATAATAATACTAATACGCTTGCATTGGATGCAGCGCCCTATCACGTCATCGTGACGCCTCAAAGCCCTTCACACAATATACAACAACAGGTACAACAACTTGCATTTAAATAGCGCCCCATCACACATTTAATTTATTGAATATACTGTAAAATGGATTGACTGTGTATTTTGTGGGCGGAACAGCAGTCCCACAAAGAATCGTGGATTGAGTGACCAAATTATTATTTATTTATAATGATTTATTTATTATGTGAAGACACAAAAGCGAGATTGGCGATCATGGCTGGTTAGGATCTTATGGACCGAAATGACCACATTACATGGGGTTCTACCATGTATGACCATCTCTACCATGCATGACCATTTCCATGGCCCTGCAAATTCTGTGTGAAAGCACATGACGCTGACATGTTACAGCGGGAAAAAAAAGTCCCCTTGAAGCACGTGTTTGACTTCTATCTGCGGGAACATTGAAATTCCATAAATACATTACAGTACGTGATTTCTGGGACAATGTCCAAACTGACTAGTTTGATTGTAATCACTCAGGAAATATAAAAGCTGCAAATAATAGAACGCCACAGATTTGCCAGAGGCCTGGAGCTTCCAGCCTAGGTTATAATATTAAAGCTAATATCCTGCGTCAGGGAGTTGATTAACATCAGTGGAGATGGACTTTAAATCTCGAAGGCTGTATGTGTGTGTGCGCGTGTGGGTGGGTGGGTGCTTGTGTGTGTGTGGGTGGGTGGGTGCTTGTGTGTGGGTGGGTGTGGTGTACTGAATATACCACTGGTTTGTGCCTGGATCTCAATATCTCTGCTCGCATAGCAACTGTTTTCTTCATGTGCGATGCGTGTGCTGCCGGTAATTGCCAATGTGAACAGGATAAGGCAATCTGGGATGGAGCACAAGAATCTAATTAATTGAAGCATATTCTTCCCTCTTATCCTCTTTCCCCCCCCCTCCCCGCTTCCCTCCCTCACCCCTCCCTCCTCATACTCTAGGTTTGAACCTTTCTGTCTTAAGAGTAATCTACTCAAGCGCAGCCAAATATTTTTCTCTAAGGAACTGTCCCCACCCCCCCTCCCAGTCCCACATGATATTCAACAGGGGGCAAAGGGGAAGAGTGAAAAAAATTCATCTTTTCCTCTCATTCTCTACAGCACAGAAGAAGGCCGTTCGGTCCATTGTGTGTGTTCTGGCACTTTTAGCTCTCCTTTGAGTTCCATTTCCCTCGCTTGAAGACCAGCTAAATGAAAGCCAAGCTTCTCTTAAATATTCCCATTAAATAGTATCCAGAGAATATTGACCCAGTGCACATGTCTCGACACGTGGAAACCCATCACCGTTGCTTAAGAGTCTCCAAACCAAGCTGAGAATTCCAGGCCTCCCACCGACACGTGGAAACCCCAGAGAGAGATTGTTGGGATGGAATGCGCTCTCTCTCTCTCCCCCTGGAGGGACGCCCCCTGCTTACCTAATTCCGGAGAGTATTAGGCGCAGGTTGGCGAGAGTCAAGGCTTTGGGGGGGGTGAGGGATGGGGGGCCCAGAGTTGTGCATTGGGGACAACTGCTGGAGTCTAACCAGCTAAACCCACCATAGCTTGGCCATTGAGAGAGACAGTGCGTTGTCTGGCCAAGCCTTTCCCACTGTTGTCCAGCTAGGACCACCCTCCCCGTTAGTTAGTGCTTTGGCTGCAGGGTTAACAGGAGCTGAGGGGGAAGATTCCCTGCCACTGAGTGACATGTTTATTCATTTTAATTTCTTCAGCACTCAACTCAATGCAGCGCGAGTAGTTATGGGAATAGGATGTTCCTGTGATTTATTATGAGGGGGCTGCCCTGGTTCACGTGGCTGTGTGGAATTTAGCACGTAAGCATCACTCTGCCCTCAGTGCGTCATTGTGTCAGAAAACTGTACTGAATCGATCTTTTGATCAGACTCAGCCAACTGCTGACCACAGGCCAACTATCCACGAATAACAGCCACGAGAGGGCAGTGGAGCAGGGTCCGTGAAGCCTTTCCGCACCGTGGGATAATAATATTAACAATAATATTCCTTGCACTTGCCACACACACACGTAATTTTGTTGTTGTTGGTACAGCACCTTGTCAGGTTGTTGAGAGGTCTCAAAATGCTTCACTGTAAAGTGAATTCGCTGCATGTCTTGTGGGCGAAACGCGGCAGCCAATCGCGCACAGCAGCGTCCCCACAAACAGCCGTGGATCGAGTGACCAAATTATTATTATTGCTTTTTAATTTATTAATTTTTGAAAGGTTTATGCCCCCGGAAAGCGATCCGCCAATCGACTAACAACCGGGTTCCTGCTCGCTGCTGGGTAAACAGAGGAGTGTGTGTGTGTGTGTGTGTGCGGAGTTCTTTGGAAAGGATGATTATCCCAGGAATGGGCTTCCTTCCACACTGTAAGTGTCTCGGGTTCTAAGGTCATCTCAAAACGAGTGTCTGCTGGAACGCTGTAAGAATGGCTCTTCCCAGCATCGTCTTTCTTTCTAACAAGCTGGAGACCTCCTCACGCCCTCGGGAGGCCGAGCGAGCAGGAGGTGGCTGTGAATTTGCAGACTTAGGCTGGTGGTGGTGGTGGTGGTGGTGGTGCAGTGAGTTATTCTGAGAGCGAAAAGCGAGTCTGGTTCACCGCACTGACTCGACTGCATCCACAGACCGCCATCGTGTGGCAGCACAGGGGAAGTCACCCGACAGGAGCTGTTGGGTCGTTCCGAGTGCCTGACACACCCCACAAACCCGGCGGGTTCCTGCAAAGTGCTTGGAGTCATGCTCCCCAGGGTGCAAGACGCTATTACCAAATGCAGGGATTAATATTATTATTATTATTATTATTGTTATTGTCACTTTGGCAATCCACTTTACAGTGTATCCCGCAAAGCGCTTTGAGACGCCTCGAAGACCTGATAAGGCCCTGGGTCAAATGCCAGGATTATTATTATTATTATTTATTATTATTTATTTATTATTATTATTATAACTGGTAGCATAACTCTGCCTGGTGCTCTCTTACTCTCACTAAGTAACTAAAACCAGCTAACTGTCCGTTTGCCACTCTCTCCCCCTCTCTCTCTCTCTCCCTCCCTCCCTCCCTCTCTCTCCTCCTAGGAAATCGGTGACGTGGAGAATTGGGCACGGAGCATCGAGATGGACATGAGGACAATCGCCACAGCCCTGGAATACGTGTACAAGGGGCAGCTGCAGTCCACCACGTGAGGACACGATTCCCCAACAGGGACCTGACCGGGAGTGAGGAAGGCTCGACGTCCCCGACTGACAGACGCGGAGCCCGGCTTCCCGCTGGGAATGTTGCTCTTAAAAGCAGCGATTCATCGTGTCCTCTTTTTTGGGGGGGAAAAAAATCCAGTATCATTTGCTCTATGTTTCTCCCCCCAATTGCCCCCCCACCCCCACCCCTCCCCTCTTAACCCCGTGTGAGGGGAGTGGGGGCGGGGGGTGGTGGTTGTTAAAACGTCTTTTGTCACTTCCCCATGTTTTGATGGCTGTTGTGTTTTTCCCACTGGTTTTCTCTCCCCCCCCCCCCCGGCTGGGTTCGGAGTAACGGTTCGGGAAATTGTTCCGGTCGGCTCCTGACGGAATTCAGTGCGGACGTGATGCGATGTGCTGATGTGATGCGTGTCGCGTTTCGCTGCTCAGACAGTCTGTCCGTGAATCCATAGAGAGCTTTGTAGTTACCTCACTCTGCCCCCACCCCCCCGACCCTCCGTCACGCCACCCCCACCCACTCTCGCTCGCCACTGGTAATACGACAGGGTGTAACTTGGCAGCAAAGCGTGGCATTGTAAGTGATTTCCTCACAAGCCCAGTGCCATATGTTACTGCACTTTCGGACGTTCCTGCCGACGGAGGGTGGATGTTGCTTCTCCTGCCTGCAGTGCGCTGTCAGAGAAATGTTTCTTGCATTTGCCAACCGATGTGTTCAGCAGCTATCTGTTCGGCCCTCCTCCCTGCAGTGCTTGCTTTTCCTCGGCGAGTTACCCGTCTGTACCCGTTGTCGGTCTTCCGCCCCGCGTCTCATCCCGGGAAAGGTGGTCACTTTGTGGTGAGCCTCGGAACGTGAGGAGCCAAATAAAAGCCACGTTGTGTTTGAATTAGGCCATTTTGTCGCATTTGTCCGGCAGGTTACGCACTCAGTAATGCTGTCCCACATGAAGTCCAAAGTCCAGTTCAAGGCTTCACTCATCTTCCCTCAAATCCTTGGAACAAAGGGGCCCTCTGTTAGGGTAATTATAGAGCCCTGTAGCTCAGTGGCCAGAGCACTCGCCTCGCGAGCGAGAGACTTGGGTTTGATTCCCGGCCAGGGCAAAACCTTGGGCAAGTTTCCTTCCTGCACACACACGCCTGATAATAATCCCTGAAAAAAAAACCAATAATAATGTGGTCACTCAATCCACGGCTGTTTGTGGGACATTCACTGCTGTGCGCAATTGGCCGCCGCGTTCGCCCACAAATATACAGTCAATTCACTTTACAGTGTGTTCTGTGAAGCACTTTGGGACGTCCTCCCGACGTGAAAAGCGCTATATTAAATGCGAGGATTATTATTATTATCCGCCCAGGAAACCAGAGGAAACAACTGGGTTCCTGCTTACTGCTAGGTAACTAGAGACGTGTGGGGTAAGGAAAGTTTTGCGCTGTCCGGGGATCGAACCCAACTCTACAAACCTCTTTCACTCTCTCTCTGTCTAAACTGTAATCCTATTACTACCTATTACGTGATTCTCAAAGCATTTTGCCAGAACTTTCCTCGTCAGTGAAAAAGCGCATTCATTTCCTTTCAAGAAACGATTAAAATTTTTGTTCCTAATTCCAACGTTGATTTCTTATAACTCTCTACTCTCCTCCCCCCCCCCCCGGGAAAGGATTGAGACGAGGGTGGGGTGGCAGGGTAGGCGGTGAGGAGGGGGTTTAGAGAGAGAAAATAATCCGCAGAAAACATTTTACGTAAGAACAATACAAACAGAAAATACAACGAGTTATGTGAAGGCTGGAATTGGCCCCATAGATTAGAGTAACGTTGCAACCAATGGCGTGATCTGATACAGCTTTTCTTATCAGGCTGTTCAGTACTCCTCCCCTCCCCGAAACAAGATAAAAGCTCGCATTTGTTGTACAACTTCTATTTGAAGGGCATTTTTTTTTCCAGTCTCTGTAGCGGGAGCAGAGCTGGTGGAGGAGTGAAGCTTCGGACCTGCCTTTGGTCTCCCGAGTTACCCGGAGAGTTGTAGCAGAAGGTTCGCTCTCGACTTCAGGGTAAGTCGAGTTCAAACTGCGAGGCTGATAAACAAGAAGGGAGATGGTTCTCTCTTCCCTCCCCCTCCCCAGGAGAATAATCATTGCCTTTGATACGGCAACTTATCACGTTGGCGAGGAGTCTCAAAGCGCTTCACGGAATATACTATAAACTGCAGTGACTGTGTTTTGTGGGCGAAACACGGCAGCCAATTGAAGGGCCCTGTGTAAATGCAAGTGGTTCAGTATCTATACGCTGATTGTTTGAGCTGCACAGAGTGTAGCTTTATGTGAGTGCTCATGAGCGTAATGTGGGTCAAGATTTTCCCTAATCTACTTTCACGCAAGATTCTCATCCGATCTCCCCAGTGCCTTGATCCACAATACTCAACCTATTGCAATATACATGGGTCGGTTGTTTTTCTAAGGCTCCTGTTTGTTATGGGGCTCGCTGCAATCTCAGTGATGTGCATCCAAGTGTTTGTAATCTGGGAAAACCTTACATCCCACACTCGGAGATGTCATAATCCTTTTTCTCTCAGACCAACAGGAATTATAGTAATCCTGGCGTTCGATGCAGCCCCTTATCACGCCGCCGAGACGCCTCGAAGCGCTTCACGGCACTTAATGTAAAATAAATCGACTGTGCGTATTTTGTGGGCGGAACGGGGCAGCCAATTTGCGCACGGCAGCCTCCCAGAAACTGTCGTGGATTGAGTGACCAAATTATTATTCTTGTTAATTCTTGAAGGGATTATTAGCCCAAGTGATCTGCCAATCGATCAACAACTGGGTTCCTTACTTGCTGCTCGGTTAACAGAGACGTGTGTGTGTGCGCGCGCGCGTGTGTGCAGTAAAGAAACTTGCCTAAAATATGGCCCTGCCCAAAATCCACTTCACGATGTATCCTGTGAAGCGCCTTGAGACGTCTCGATGACGTGATGAGGCGCTGTATCGAATGCAAGGATTATTATTATTATTACAAGTCGAGAGACGAGACTGCTACCCGCTGAGCCAGGCTGACCGTTGAGTTTCGTGGGGAAGGGGGGCGCGGGAGGTCTTGAGGATATATCGAGCTGAAGCCTACCTAGCTAAATGCTCGCCTCAGCCCTACTGTCACCTTTCACCTTCGCTCTAGTCGGTTCCTTGCTCCACACAGCTCCCTTGCTCTTACTAAACACTTGTTATGTAAGAGATTGTTCCTTCTCAATGAAGTCGTTGAGCTAAGACTTTTGCCCCCCCCCCCCCCCCCCCCCCGAGTAGGATTAGTGTAATACAACTAATCTGGCCCTAATCCCGATATGTACCATTAACCACTGCAAAAGGCACGACTTAGCGATAACTCAGCCACGAGCTATGCTGTCACACAGTCACGCAGGCGCGATGCAAAGTGTATTGTGAATCACACGTCGTGGAAATGAAGGTGGAAATTGCCTTGGAAATGATGTGAATTTAGGCAGCCTGCACAAGCCACCAGTGAGGCTAACAGCAACCACAGGATCACAGTTGTGTAGCACCTTTCCCGTCGGGAGGACGTCGCAAGGCGCTGGACAGTGAACAGCATTTCAGACCCGAGCTGGGGTCAGGTAAGGAGGAGAAGGGAGGGGAGGAGAAGGAGGCGGCCGATGGCACGGTCGAAGGGGAGGGTTTTGAGGTGGGACTTGAAGGAGGCTATGGAGGGGGCGAGGCGGAGTGATTGGGGGGTGGAATTCCAGAGGTTGGGGGCAGAGTGGCTGAAGGTTCCGGAGGTGAGGGAAGGCAGAGCGGGTCAGGGCTTGGAATGGGGAAGAAAAGACAATTGAGGGTCGAACAAGACTCCCGGGTTCCTGACTGTCTGGTGAGTTGAAGGGTGCAACCATGGAGGTTGATGCTGCCAGAGCCTGAGGTGCTGAGGCTCAAACAGGTTCCTCCTTGCCACTAGGTAAACAGAGCCGCGGGTAAGTGTGTTGGGAAAGGAAACTCGCCTCAGGTTTTTGCCTGTCAAAATGTACGTGGAGGTAGTGAATGTGCGGACATTTGTTGTGTGTGAGAGTGTGTGTGAGACTGTGTGAGTGCGCGTGCGAGAGCTTGTGTGAGAATGTGTGTGAGTGTTCAAGTGTATAAGAGAGTGCGTGAGTGTGCGTGTGAGTGTTTGTGAGTGTGAGAGAGTGCGTGTGTGAGAGTGTGTTTGAGTGTTTGTGAGTGTGTGAGATTATGTGTGTACGCGCGTGTGAGAGTGTGTGTGAGAGAGTGCGTGTGTGAAAATGTGTATGTTTGTGGTACGGGGTTCAATAAGAGCAAACTGAACTTTCAGCCTTCAGTTGGGAAAGCAGGCTTCAGGTCACTGAAACTGAATACTGGCACAAACAATAATTAGGTAATTTTGAACCTAAGGTTGGCCGAAGCTCCACTGAGATGCTGTGTATCTGATATACTGCCTCAGCTGCGAGCAACTGAACCATGGACATTACATCTGTTGAGTTGTAACTTTTTCCCCGTTCGTCCCAACCGTCGTCTTACAAACAGACCCTACACCGCGGATATATCCAAAGTAAGATTTATTGCAATTGCAAGAGCTGATTCAAGAGCAGTCGACAGTCCCAAGAATGAACTGCTTTTGGTCAGTTGAAGCAGCCCTTTTATCCCCAAAAGTGCTCAAGGTCGTAAAGCATACAAAGGCAATTAAAAAAACATTATCAACCATGTGGTTCCAACAACTATTCGAATGGTGACGTCAATCAATCTATATCTCTAAACAAGGTTAAATGTCATCTACTTAATTAGTACCTATTCGTGTTGATTATGATTCTTTAAAAAATCAATCAAATATAATTGGCATAGAGTATGTACCTGATTAATACCGTTGTCTAAAGTATACAAGATACAATCTAAAGCTATCTAACAAGAATACAACCTTTAACATTTATAACACAGAGTAAGAAATAATGAGGGAAGGGGCTCAGGTTAGGGGAGGATTCGGGGACGTTAGAGGCATAAGCGTATCTCCAGACGGTGTTTGTGTCAGACAATGTCTTATTCATTTCAAAGCTGCAGAAGTTTCTGCTCGTTACTGCTTCTCTGCTTCCATGGAATGTGCAGACAGATAAGGATGCAGTCGGCATTGCCAAGTCTGAGCTTTCCCAGGACTTGTTTTTTTTTTAATGTTTCAGCTAATGTTTGATTTAAAAAGGCACACAATCATTTCGAGGTGTAAAAGACTTTTCTACAATTTCACTACAATTTCATTACAGTGTCACTACAATTTCACACATCTACTCGCCCTTTAAACTACACGCAACAAAAATGTGCAACGATACCTTTTTAAAAACACTTTCTTGCCCGACCTCGTAGTGGCAAACATGTCAACTGCATGATCCAAACCTCGTGTAGGTGTCAAATCGTGGTCAACAGGTGGGATTATCACCCCCCGGGAAAGCAATTCGCCAATCGACTAACAACCGGGTTCTTACTGACTGCTGATAAACAGAGGTGTGTGTGACTTGCTTAAGGTTTCACCCCGACCCGCCCGGGAATCAAACCAGAGTCCTCTCGCTTGCGAGGCGAGGGCTCTCACCACTGTGCTGTGGGCAACGCCAATGAACTAATCCTGATTCCTAATCACCAGCACTGATCTTCTCAGGATCCCACGGCTGCCCTCAAGCCGACCTGATGTGGTTGTGTCTGGTCTGCGGTGTGATCTTGTTGGCCCTCGGTTGGGTTGTGAGAGACCGTCAGAAGATCAGCAGCGTCAAGGACAAGTATGTCCTCATCACTGGCTGCGATACCGGCTTCGGGAACCTACTGGCAAAGACCCTGGACAAGAGAGGCTTCCGTGTCCTGGCCGGCTGCTTGACCCAACGAGGTGCCGATGATCTTCAAAGGAGCTGCTCGTCCAGGCTCCAAACCACTTTGTTAGACGTGACAGATAACGGCAGCATCCAGAAGGCCATGGAATGGGCCAAGGCCGAGGTGGGGGAGAAAGGTGAGGAAACTCGCGCTGGTCTGCCATAAACCAACAGGGAAAAACTGGCAGGAATCTGACCTGGATAACTCGTGCAATCGCACCCAACCCGCCCCGCCTGGCCGGGAATCTTACCCTCGTTCTCCCGCTTGCGAGGCGAGCACCCTAACCACCAGGCTACAGGGCGTGCAATATAATATACATAGTGCTTCAACAGGAAAAATTGTGCTGGGCTTTGGGGTAAGAGTGGGGGTTGGGGATGGGGGGGGGGAGTGAGTGGGACTAGTTGGGGTAAGAGCGGGACAGTGAGTTGGTGGCTCTTTCAAAGAGCTGGCACAGGCCCCGATGGATGGAATGGCCTCCTATCGCGCTGTGAGGTTCTGTGATTATAAGGTGTGGTGTCGTCCCTCGCAGGGCTGTGGGGATTGGTGAACAACGCTGGAAGGTCCACCCCCATCGGCCCGACAGAGTGGCTGAGGATGGAAGATTACCACAAGGTTCTGAGCGTGAACCTGACGGGGCTGATTGAGGTGACCCTGAGCTTCATCCCCCTGGTGAAAAGGGCCAAGGGGCGCATTGTCAACACGGCCAGCGTGATGGGCCGCATCTCCTTCGCCGGCGGAGGTTACTGCCTCTCAAAGTGCGGAGTGGAATCATTCTCCGATAGCCTGAGGTTTGTTTCGCCCACGTAGTAGGCAATCGCTGCACCTTTACAGCAAAATCCTTTGGTGACGCGATGAGGCGTTACCTCGAATGCAAGAATTATTATCATTATCATCATTATTAATGTGAGTTCTTTCCTCCCAGGAGGGACATGCAATATTCTGGGGTGAGAGTTAGCATCATCGAGCCTGGCTTCTTCAAGACAGCGATGACCAACTTGGAAGGGATCGAGAAAGACCTTGATCGCCTGTGGGGCAGACTGGCTCCAGACGTACGTGAGAGTTACGGACAACAATATTTTGACAAATGTGAGTGTTCTTCACCCACCTGCCAATCCCAATTGGGGGCAGTCGCTCACCCTGACTCCGGGTGTCAGCCTGGCTCAGTCACCAGCACTCTCGCGCCCGAGTCTGAAGGTCATGTGGCGTAGCTCAGGGGTTAGAGACACACACACACACACACACACACACACCTCCGTTTATCAAGTAGTAAAGTAGGAACCCGCTTGTTAGTATTGGCACGATCTTCAGGTGAGTGGGTTGAGGGGGAGTGGGTGGTGGGTGGGGGTTGGGGGTGGGGAGTGTGGGGGCGAGGAGGAGGGATTGTTTCGGGGCGCAGTGGCTGGATGGTGGAGTGTGGAGAGGGTTGGGAGGGCGAGGGACAAACAGGAGGCCATTTTGCCCCGTTGACAGGACAGGGCGTCGTACTTGGCCAGTAAATCCCGACTCACCCGGACTCGCTTTCTCTGCAGACGTGAACATCCAGAAGTTGTCGATGAACATCTTGTGCGACACGGACCTCACGAAGGTCACGTGGTGCATGGAGCACGCCCTGGTGGCCAAGTACCCTCGCACACGCTACGCTGCAGGCTGGGATGCCAAGTTCTTCTGGGTCCCCATCTCCTACGCCCCCACCCTGATCTGTGACTTCATGCTGGCCCTTCTGCTCCCCAAACCTGCCCACAGCGTCTGATAGACAGGGCCTAAAAGGGAATGGAGCGCAGCTGAAGTGAACCCTTCATTATAGTTGTCTGGGGAAAGTGTTTCCGTAGCTCAGGGGGTTAGAGCCCTCGCCTCGCAAGCCAGAGGACCCGGGTTCAATTCCCGGGGCGGATCAGGTCAGGGCGAAACCTTAGGCAAGTTTCCTTACTCCACACACAGACACACACACACCAGCAGTAGGAACCCGGTTGTTAAGTCGATTGGCGGATCGCTTTCCGGGCAGTAATCCTTCAAAAAAAATATTTGGTCACTCAATCCATGACTCTTTGCGGGGGACTCTTTGCTGCTGTGCACAATTGGCTGCCGCGTTTTGCCCACAAAATGCACAGTCACTACACTTTACAGTATATTCTGTGAAGCGTTTTGAGATGTCTTGACGAGTTGATATGTAAGTAAGTAGGAATCCAGTTGTTAGTCGGTTGTTAGATCGCTTTCCGGGGGGTAATAATTTGGTCACTCAATCCACGACTGTTTGTGAGATGTTGATGTAAGCAAATTGGCTGCTGCGTTTCGCCCACAAAATACGCAGTCACTACACTTGATATTAAGATCCTGTGAAGCTATTATCAAAAGCAAGGATTATTATCAGCTTAGATTTCTACAGAGAAAAATTAATTCATGAGCGGGGGAAAGGTGAAAGTCCGGGTTTGCTTAGAGCCAAGGAAGTTTGTGGAGGGAAAAGGAAATTCAAATAAATATACAAATGCAAAATAAAATGTTCATTTCAACTCCTGTGGAAACCTCCCTATCTTCTGCCAGTCATAAAAGCATGAGAATTGCCAGATGAAAGAAGGTCAATCCAGTTCCCCTTCCACCAACCATCCTGGCAATCGCTTGCACATGTCGTGTGCCAAACTATATACTTTATCCCCTTTATCTGTTATTCTCTTAACCGAAATCTAACTCATTTTTTCATGAAAGAATCAACACTTTCTGCTTCCACCGACTGTCTCCCTCCCTCCCTCCCTCCCTCCCTCGGGAGCCTCCTGTTCCATACGTTTATTACTCGTTCACTGAAGTAGTGTTTCCTCAGATTTGTTCTGAATTTACCCCCCACTCGATCGCAGGCCGTGTGCCCTCTGGTTCTACTGTTCTGGACAAGACAAAACAGCTTCTCGTGGTCTACATTACCCAATCCCTTTAAGGTTGCAAAAGCTGCAATCATATTGCCTCTTGGCCTTCTCTACTCCAGCGGGAACCTGTCCAGTTTATGTCATTGCCTCTGTGCAGTTGACCTCTATGCCACATCCTCTCTGCGTTACATTGAACTGATTTTCAGCATCTGATATCGACACGAGTGCCAAATAACAGCTGATTATTAATCAACTCCAGTCCGCAACAGTCTCAGATACCGGGACCTCACAGGGGTGTTTCGTACCTTATACGGGATTGATAACGTGAATCCGGATCAATACCTCTGTCCCGAGCGACGAGGCAGCAGAGCAAGAGGACCCGGGGTGAGAGGTACAAAGGGGGCAATTTCAGGACAGACACCAGGAAGTGTTTTCTTTACCCAGGGGGTAATTACAACAACAACAACAACAACCTTGCACTCGTATAGCGCCCTCCGAGCAGGGTAGCGTCTCAGAGCGCTCAGCCAATGACCGGGACAGGGTCGCCAGGAAGGGTGGGGGCGGGGAGGGTTTGAGGACTGATGGATGGGGGTGGGGTATGGGGCACGGGGCGGGGCGGGGGGGTTGCTGGGTGCGGGCGGGTGCTGTGGAGGTGATGAGATCAGAAGGGCCGAAGGGTCTTCTTCATCCAGACCCCGAAACAAAATCCGTAAGGACCAACCTCCTCGCTGGTCTCCAGCTCAGCCACTGGAGGGCGAACGCTCACCAGGATCAACAGAGTTAGCACTACCGTCATCATCCCAGTTGGATAATGGACGTTGGGAGCCTGAAGTCCATGGGGGAGGGGGAGGGGGAGAACATCGGCAGCCTTCGGCCGAGCCACATGGTTCCCGCTGAGAGGCCAGGGTTTGCAAGGTGGGGGTGGTGGGAGTCCCTGTAGCTCAGTGGTTAGCTCCCTCGCCTCGCCAGCGAGAGGACCCGGGTTCGAGAGCTTAGGCAAGTTTCTTTACTCCGCGCGCGCGCACACGCACACCAGCAACCAGGAACCCGGTTGTTAGTCAATCGGCGGATCGCCTTTCCAGGGAGAGGAGGTGACCGAGCGCAAGATAAAGCCGTGGGCAGTTGTTCAGCCACCAAACTGGGCTGATCAGACGGTTAATCAACAGCTGTGACCAATGAGGAGAATTGCAAACAAGTTAACATTTAACAGCCCTTTGGACAAATATGTAGACAAGGCGGAGTATCTCTGAACACTCTGCGCTCTCTGCTACAGCAACAATAATCCGCACACTTCATACAACGTCGTGTCATGTATCTGAAACAGCTCAAAGTGTTTTCACACGGCTTCTTGTTTGCGGGGCGTCGCTGTGTGAATATTGACTGCAAAACACACAGTCGCCCCACTTTATGATGATAATATAAACAGTACAAACAAAATTACATTTACATAGCGCCTTTTCACATCGGGGGGACTTCCATTTGATACAGCGCCTTAACACGTCGTCGAGGGACGTCTCACAGCGTTTCACAGGATACACTGTAAAGTGTAGTGACTGTGTGTTTTGTTGGCAAGGTACCCCACAAACATAGATTGAGTGAGCATTGAGAATATTTTTTATCTTGTGGCTGAACTGGCTCCACGGAATGTCAGAATCTAACCTCCCCCCACCCCACCGTGATGGTCTCGAGCCCCCGGTTTCTGAGCCAGGCAGGACCGCGGTGTCCCAGGGCACTCACTGCTGATGGCGGCCCAGCCCGGCCCGGCTCAGCCATCGGCAGGACCTGGAAGGGCCGACCAGTCACTGGGGGCAGAGAATCCTCCCCCTCAGCTCCTGGTAACCTGCAGCCAAAGCCCTAACCAACTAACGGGGAGTGTGGTCCTCGCTGGACAAGCAGCGGGAAAGCTTGGCCAGACAGCGCTCTCTCTCTCTCTCTCTCTCTCGATGGCCGAGCTATGCGTGGGTTTAGCTGGTTAGACTCCAGCAGTTACCCCCAACGCACGCTCTGGCCAACCTGCGCCTAATACTCTCCGGAATTAGGTAAGCAGGATGTGTTCCTCCGGGTTAGAGAGAGAGAGATTGAGAGAGAGAGATCCCATTCCATTCCAATAAACGTGTAGCTGAGACGCATAGAATTCTCAGTTTGGTTTGGAGTCTTAAGTAACGGTGATGTGATGGGTTTCTGCGTGTGTCAGACACCCCCCCACCGACCGACCAAAAAAAGGTGTAATTCGATTCGGCAAGCAAGAGGTTAACTTGGTCTCAATTGCCGGCCTGGATCCCCACGTGGACAAATTATGGGTCCAAACAGGATTAACAGGCAGAAAATAGAAAGATCTAATAAAGACCATTAGTGGTAAATTAGTCCAAGTGAAAGCAATTCAAAAGAACCGCCTTTCCCCTCATTCCGAGAGTAAACAGCTCCTGCAGAGCAATCTGTCCTTCAAATAAAATCTCCGCATTGATAATCAACCACGCAAAAATGCCACCTAACCACTTAAAAGAATACAGTGAACTGGGAATATAGACTAGAGAGCTCCAGTGGGGGGAGCGAGCCCCAGCACAGACACGACGGGGAGCGAGAGAGAGATAGAGCAGGAAATGGGGTTAGAGTAGAGAGTTCCAGTGGGGGGAGTGAGCCCCAGCACAGACACGACGGGGAGCGAGAGAGAGAGAGAGCAGGAAATGGGGTTAGAGTAGAGAGCTCCAGTGGGGGAGCGAGCCCCAACACAGACACGACGGGGAGAGAGAGAGAGCAGCGAATGGGGTTAGAGTAGAGAGCTCCAGTGGGGGAGCGAGCCCCAGCACAGACACGACGGGGAGCGAGAGAGAGAGAGAGAGAGAGAGAGAGAGCAAAAGGGGTTAGAGTAGAGAGCTCCAGTGGGGGAGCGAGCCCCAGCACAGACACGACGGGGAGAATGACTCTCTTTCTGTGCTGTAGTGTCTGCAAACCAGCAAAGAAACAACAATTAAGGCCCGGCCTTCGTGCCCAAGCCAAATAAATCAGTGCAAACACAGGACTTTGAGCCATCCCTGAAGCTGTGTGGACAAGAGGAGATTTAGTTTACGGATTACACAGGGTGGAGCCGGGGAGATCTCCGGGTTAGGGTTAGGGTAACCCTAAGTATTATTGCAAGAGGCCGGAGACAACAGGAGCAAAACAACATGAAAACCCAGACTTCACACCAGTGGTCTTTACTAGTTGGCCTCCACAAGGCTAGAGAAAAGAGTCCTGTAACGTAAATAATAATAATAATATTTATGCTTTTGTGTCTTTGGCCCCCAACCCCCCCCCAAACTCCCGCGCCCTCCATTCCTCTTGACCCCAACTCCCAGCTCAGGTCCAAAAACCCCTGACTGTCCAGGACTCTGGGATGTCTTTCCGACGCGAAGGGCACTCACGGCACGGGTGTCATTTGCCGTTGTTGCAATAGCAAACCTTGCCTTTGGTACAGGCGCCTTGCCATGTCTTCGAGACGTCTCAAGGCGCTTCACGGAATATACTGTAAAGTGTAGTGACTGTGTGCTTCGTGGCACGAAATGGTTAGAGCACTCGCAAGCGAGAGGAGCCGGGTTCGAGTCCCCGGGCGGGTAACTGAAGTCGTGGAGGATTGAACTCACAACCTTTTCGATCTGGAGGCGAGAGGGCTAGCGACCGAGGCCGGGCAACAGCAGGGGCTACGGGAACAGGGTTAGGTCCGGAGCCGGGTGGCAGTCGGTGTGTTGGTCGGGGAGGGGAACGGCAGTGTGGATTGTGGCAGTGATAGAGTTAACGGGGAGAGCGCTGAGCTCGCTCAGAGCTGCGAGCCCCGGCTGCCTGCGTGGAACAAGAGGCGGGACTGAGGGCAGCTTCATCTCGTTTATGTTGAACGCAGAGAGAGCGGTAGAGAGAGAGAGAGAGAGAGGGGGGGAGAGAGAGAGAGTGGAAACGGGGTCTATATTTAAAAGGCTTTGGCTGCGCCCCAACGCGTCTCCACTCTTGGCTCAGTTCCTTGCATCATACTGATTTTCCACTTGAGTTTCCGACGCTCAGCGGTCGTTGCTTTTGCTGCGTCACATCTGCATCTCAATAGAAACCACAGAGGTTTTGTGGCGAATGCAGTGCCCCCTCCCCCCCCCCACCCCACCCATGTTTCGTAGTGAATCGTGCGCCAATTTACACACAGCAAAGTCTCCCTCTCGCCACCAGCCCACAAGGCTATCGATATTTTTCCTTATCGCTGGGAGGGATTGTTGGCCAGGAGACCGAGAGAGAGAGAGAGAGAGTGAAACTCCCTCCCCTCACCCCCTCTCCCCCAAACCCTCCCCCCACGCGTTCCAACAGCCTCGCGGGAGATTTTTAACGTCCACCTGAACAGTGAGGTTTAACGTCTCATCCCCGAAGGACGGCGACTCCCATAATTCGATGCTCTCTCAACCCCACCCCCCACCCCCCAGCGCTGGGCTGGAGATTCAGCAAATGCTCTCCTTTGTAAACGAGTGCAAGTTGTCGTCGATCGTATAACTTTTAAGAGAGAAGTAGATAATCATTTGGGGAGGACAAGTGTCGAAGTGTCGAACCTCCTCACATTTGTGCCTCTTCCTCCCCACACCCCACTCCCCCTCTCTCTGTGCATCTCACTGACCACATGTTGAGTTTGGAGAAAAACCTACTGTTTTTCACACACCGAGCAGTTAGTGATGTGTCTGGCAATATGTGACAACCCATATCGCGCTTGCACATTTTCACACCTCTGCTGGTTGTAACAGACTACAAGCACTTAGAAAAATGTTGGAACGCGTGGGGGGAGGGTTTGGGGGAGAGGGGGTGAGTGAGGGGAGGGAGAGGCACAAATGTGAGAAGGTTCGACACTGTTTGATTTTAGAAAAACATCCAGTTCTGCCATTCTCAGTTCTGCGCTCTGAGATGCCGTCCGGCGTGGAGGGCGCTATATAAATCCAAGTTGTTGTTGTTGTTAAATGTACCTTCAATAATAATAACAGCCCTGGCATTTGATGCAGCGCTTTACCACGTCGTTGAGACGTCTCAAAAGCACTTCACGGTAAAGTGGGCTGAGTGCGTGTTTTGTGGGCGAAATGCAGCAGCCAATTGCGCGCAGCAGTGTCCCACAAAGTCGTGGATTGAGCGACCAACTTTTTTTTTATTTGTAGGGATCATTACCCCCGAAAAGCGATTCGCCAATCGACTAACAACCGGGTTCCTGCTTACTGCTGGTAAACAGAGGCGTGTGTGTGTGTGTGTGTGTGTGGAGTAAGGAAACCTGCCTAAGGTTTCGCCCTGACCTGACCCACCCGGTGATCAAAACTGGGTCCTCTGGCTTGTGGGGCGAGGGCTCTAACCCCTGAGCTGCAGGAACTCCTTCTTCTTGGATGCCAGACAAAAGATATCCAATTATTAACAGGCCCAGGGCAGGGCTCAATTGCAGTGAGCTCCAGCCCAGGCCTGTGTTTAGTTGGCCTTGGGTGGCTTAATGATTAGCCAAGGCTACGCTTTGCTGCAGCTGATTGGCTTCAAAGGCAAGAACTTGGCATTTCTCACAAAGAGAATCTCCTTCTCATTGAGTAAAAACTTTCACATCTACGAACAGCAGCAAAGCCTCGCATTCGATACCAGCGCCTTTCAAGTCAGGTCCCTGGCACCGAACCAGAGGGGAGACGAGACGAGGAGAAATCTTTTTTTTTCTTTACCCAGAGAGTTGTTACGGGCTGGAACGCACAGCCTGAAAGGCTGGTGATGGAAGCAGATTCGATAGAAGCTTCAAAAGGGAATTGGATAGGGACTTGAACAGCAAAGGAAAAATAGAAGGACTAGTTGGGGTAAGAGCGGGGGAGTGAGCGGGACTAGTTGGGGTAAGAGCGGGGGAGTGAGTGGGACTAGTGGGTTCCTCCTCCAAAGAGCCAGGACAGGCCCAATGGACCGAATGGCCTCCTTCTGTGCTGCAAGGTTCTATAATTTTACGATTCTAGAATCCTTTCTGCGTCAGAAGCTTTAAAGTATTTGGATTTCTGCTGATTTCTTCTTCATTTCGTATATTTTTTGGGGGGAGGGGGGTCAGCCTCACGTCTGACACGGGCGGAAACCCATCACCATTGCTTAAGAGTCTCCAAACCCAACTGAGAATTCCAGGCCCAGAGATAGATTGTTGGGATGGAATGCGCTCTCTCCCCCACCCCGGGGGGACGCCCCCCTGCTTACCTAATTCCGGAGAGTATTAAGCGCAGGTTGGTAAGAGCCAAGGCTTGGCAGCTGGGGGCTGGGGGGGGGGGGACTGTGAGCTCAAAGGCCCCGACGTGGGGGGTGAGGCTTGAACCCAAAACCTTCTGATTCGGAGGTGAGAGCCAGATTAACAGGTCGGGGGGGGGGGGTGGCGAAGAGTGAAGAAAACTTGTAAAGGAGACTCTTAGAACATTGACCCCCTCCTTATGCCCCCGGCTCCCCCAACCCGCCAATCACCCCACCAGGTGGGACAACCCAAACCAACCCACCACAAAGCTCCGTCAACAATATTTCTGGACAAAATGCAGCATTGAACGGTGACACAGTCTAGAAAAAGGTTTATTTTCTTGCCACATCACAGTACACCCCCAAAAAAAAATCCCTCCACACACGAGGAGCCAGATTTACAGCATGCATCTCATCGACGTGCCAGGAGAGAGAGAGAGAGAGAGAAGGGGGGGGGGGGGGGGGGGGGGGGGGGCTGTGGGGGGGGGGGGGGGGGGGGCGGGGGGGGGGGGGGGGGGGGGGGAGAGAGAGGGAGAGGGAATGGGAGGGAGAGGGAGAGAGAACGAGAGGGAGAGAGAAAAAAATACCCCCAAAAAACTCGAGAATTCTAGCAAACTTTGTCTCGCCAACGTCACCCGAGGGAAGGAGTCAATGAACTTTTGAGACAATTGCTTTGAGTTTGTGATACTTCAATCCTCCCCCTCAGCTCCTGTCAATCCTGCAGCCAAAGCCCTCACTAACTAACGGGGAGGGTTGTCCTGCCAGCGGGAAAGCTTGGCCAGACAGCACTCTCTCTCTCAGTGGCCAAGCTATGTGTGAGTTTAGTTGGTTAGACTCCAGCAGTTACCCCTAACCCACACTCCGGGATCCCCCACCACCCCCACCAAAGCCTTGGCTCTCGCCAACCTGCGCCTAATACTCACCGTAATTAGGTAAGCGGGGGGCGTCCCTCCAGGGGGGGAGAGAGAGAGAGAGAGAGAGCGCATTCCATCCCAACAATCTCTCTCTGGGGTTTCCATGTGTAGACGAGAGGCCTATAATTCTCAGTTGGGTTTGGAGACTCTTAAGCGACGGTGATGGGTTTCCGTGTGTGTCAAGACACCCCCCCCCCACCCACCCAGCCGATCAAAAAAAAAGTTCAATGCTTTCCCTCCGTGTCTCCTCTCGCTCCCAACCCCGCACACATACATGCAGGACTTTTGACAAGCTCAGAGAAATCTCACTGGGCATAAAGAAATGCAAACTTCTGGAGGCAGAGCCGTGGATCAGGGTTGACGGGTTGGGGGGGGGTTGGGGGGGAGGGTGAGGGAGGGAGGATAAAGCATTAATCGTCAATGAAAAACGACAAAAGTTACGTCTAGTGTACAATATGGCCATTTATATGTAGAGATATATATATATATATAATCCTCGGACCTGATATGATACACTGGCATTTAATATAGAATGTATATAGTGAGAGAGACGGACCCACAGTCTTGGCTTGATGCCGCCAAGACATAAACAAATGCACAAAACCAACCATTATCTCCCCCCACAATGGCTGGCTCCTCTTTGGCTTTCTTCTTTTTCTTCAACGACGACGACGACGACGACAAAAAAAGCAGGTCAAGTATTTATATTTGTAACAATAATAATCCTGACATTCGACACAGGGGTCTTATCATGTCGTCGAGGCGTCTCAAAGCGCTTCACAGGACATACTGTAAAGTGGAGTGACTGTGTGTTTTGCGGGCAGCCAATTGGGCCCAGGCATGTCCCACAAACAAGTCGTGGATTGACTGACCAAATTTTTTCGAATGTATTTATTGGGAGGGATTATTAACCCCCACAGAGAGCGATCTGCCACATGACTGACAGCCGAGTTCCTACGTACTTGCAAGGTAACCAGAGGCGCGTGAGTGGAGTAGGGAAACTTACCCCAACTAAAGAGGAGGTCGGAGGGAAAGCTCACAACTGGCGTTTGCTCTCCTCTCAAGTATGATGGACATACTTAAGCAAAGAGTTTTGACTGGGGCCAACAGTCGCTTGTCGCCCGTCTGCTCAAGAGCCACTGAGGGGTGCAAACCTCCAAAAATAAGAGGACATTTAACCCTCCCAACCAACCCCCCCCACCCTCCCCACCCGAAAAAAAATCAGCTGTGGATCAGATACACCCATAAGGAGCGAGACAGCTGTGTTACACACATGTAAGAAAAGATTCCCGAATTTTAGAGACAAGTCATATCGAAGCATTCATTTCCTTTAAGACGAGAGGTTACTCTTTCAACCGTTGAATTGACGTTTCCAATGTGACGAGACCACGAAGAAAAATAACAGGTCCCGTAAAAGTTCTGGGGGGGATGTGGGGAGGGGGGGGGGCGGGGGGAGGGGGTGGGGTTGGGGTTGGGGGTGTGGTTGGAGGTAAAATGGGAGAAGGATAGGGAAGGGGAGGATTACATGACTTCGTAGCCACTGCGAATGCCTTTCATCAGCACACAAGCGAAGATGATCCCAAGGAGCTGAGAGAGAGGAGAGAGAGAAACAGAGACAGAGAGAGAGGGTTTGAGTTCAAAGCATTTTCACTGGGAGCAGACACACACACACACACACACACACACACACCCCACATCCTCAACCACACACACACACACCCCTTCCCACATGCACAAACACACTCTCTGTCCTTCCCCCCCCCCGACCCACCAGCCCCTCGACCGACCATCCGTTGCCCTAAGCAGACCCCGCTCCCTAACGCTGGGAAAACATAAAATATAATAATCCTTGTACTTGACCCGGGCCCTTATCATGTCTTCGAGATGTCTCAAAGCGCTTCACGGGACGGACTGTAAAGTGTAGTGACTGTGCGTGCGTTTTGGGGGCGAAACGCGGCAGCCAACCGCGCGCCCAGCGACGTCCCCACAAACAGACGTGGATCGAGCCACCAAATTATTGGCAATAATTATTGTTCTCACCTGGAACAAGGCGATTCCCAGTGCCACCCCCGCCACAATGACAAAATTCTCCTTAAGCCACTTGTCGATCAGATTCACGCAGCCCTGAGAGAGAGAGAGAGAGAGAGAGAGAGAGAGAAAGAACGTAACGTAAGAAACTGTTAAACGAAAGAAGACCGAGGTCCATCAGTTCGCTTTCCACCATCCATCCTGGCAGTCGCTTGCACATGTCCTGTCCCCAAACTATAATAATACCAAATAATAACGACAATCCTGGCATTTTGAACACAGTGCCCTGTCAAGTCTTCGAGAAGCCTGAAAGCGCTTCACAGCACACATACAATGTAAAGTGTAGTGACTGTGCATTTTGTCGGCGAAACGCAGCAGCCGCTTGCGCCCAGCGACGTCCCCACAAACAGTTGTGGATCGAATGACCAAACTTTTTTTGTGTCTTTTTTTGGAAGGGATTATTACCCCCGGAAAAGCGATTCCGCCAATTGACTAACAACTGTGTTCCTACTTACTGCCGGGGAATCAGAGACCTGCCCCATGTGAAGGCCGCTGTGTAAATGCAGGTTGGTGGTGGTGTTGTAACACGACGGTAAATCAACAAATGCCCACATCAATATAGGTCATGATCTAAAGAGAGCATAGAGGCTGTGGTCGGAGCCTGGGGGGGGTTGGGGGGGGAAGTAGAGTTAAAGGATTGGGAGGGGAAAGGGAGAGGAAAACACACTCACTATCTGGTAGATGTTGGAAGAGGTTGTGTTCAAACCACAGTCAGGAGAAGGTGTCTTGCAACAGGAGTCTGGCACGGTTTTATTGAACGGCGGAATGGAGAACCAGTCAGTGTAGTTGATGTTGCCACAGCATTGGAACTGGGGAGGAGATACACACACACACACATACATTTAGTGGCCAGACAAGAGAGTTCAAAGTCAATCCTGGTCCTGGCCTTCAAAATCCTCCACGGCCTTGCCCTGCTCCTCCCTACCTCTGTGACCTGCCTACTGCATGTCTACTCCCCACGCTAGTCGGTCAAGCCTTCAGCCTCTCATCTCTGCCCCCTCGCCCTTTGGAACTCCATCCCACGGTCCCTCCGCCTCGCTCCCTCTCCTGCCTCCTTCAAAGCCTGCCTTCCTCTTCGACCACCCCTTCGGTCACCCTCCTACCCCCACCCTCCCTGCCCTCCTAATTCCCAATCCCACAGCTCGGGTCCAAAGCCCTGACTGTCCAGTGCCTTGGGACCAAATCCTGATGTGAAGGACGCTGTGTAAATGTCATGTGTTGTTGTCTCACCTTCTTCTGGAGCTGGTCTATGCTGGCGTTCTTGTTGCTGTAGTTGTGCATCGTCTCGTTAAACTTACTCTCCAACACACCACGGATCTGTAGGGAGGGTTACGGTCAACGTCAGGATAATGGCAACACACAGCCCATTACACCTGATCTCAGAGAGAGAGGGAGAAAGACACACACTCACACCTTACAGAGAGAGAGAGAGAGACAGAGACAACACACACACACACATAACACAGAAAGAGAGAGACATGCATCTTACAGAGAGAGAGAGACACACACACACAGAGACACAGGGACAGACAGCGAGAGACACACACACACACAGAGACAAGAGAGACAGAGAGAGAGAGAGAGAGACGCGGGGTGGGGTGGGGGGGGGGTGTGGTGGGGTGGCGAGAGACCCTCAGATGCTCACCTGATCTTTGAAGATGTAGCCAGCGATGGCGGCAGCTATTTCGATGAGGAAGATGAGAGTGATCAAGATGGCAAACTGAAAGGCGAGTGAGAGAGAAAAAAAAACACCAAACACATCAGTCACAGAACAAAGTGCCTGACGCGGGGGCTTGAACCCACAAACTCGCGACTCCTCTCCCCCTCTTCATCCTCCAGGGCTGGGGTGGGGGGAGGGGGGAGAGAGAGAGTGGGGAGTGGGGGGGGGGGTGAGAGAAAGGAAAATGAAAATAAACCAACGTCACAGCAGGATGTCTATTGGGAACAGTAAGGCAGAGCGCAGTGCTGTGACACTCATTGGTGTTCAGCCAAAACACTCTTCATCCTGTTATTCCCGAGCGTGTCAGCCCGGATCAGTCGTCAGCGTTTGTACAACAATAACAACAACACATGACAGTTACACAGCGTCTCTCCCAAGGGAAAGCCACTCCAAGGCGTTGGACAGTCAAGGGTTTGCACCCCAGTTGGGGTTAAGAGTCGAGAGGGGAACCCCCTTCACGCAGGATGGGGTTAATAGAGACACAGAGCTGGTCTCTGAGGGAGGGGGGTGGGAAGACAGAGGAGAGGTGGCCATTGGCACGGTCGAAGAGGGAAGGGCTTCTGAAGGTGCGAGCTGAAGATGGGGCAAAAAAGAGTAACGGAGGCGGAGGGGCTGGGGAATGGAGTTGTAATGGGGGAGGTGTAAGTTGGTAAGAGTCAAGGTCCGAGTAGGTGAGGGGCGCTGTGTTGTGGTATGTGGCGCCAGGCTCTCTCACCGTGGTGACCATGCAGTAATTCTCCTTCCAGGCTCCACAGCAGCCGAAGAAAGCCACAAAGTTGATGACCACACCCACCACGATGATGACGATGGGAGCTCCCGAGGCAGAGGAGTCCGAGATCAAAAACGTCCCGTTCATCTGGGTCTGAACCAGGATCCCGACCACGATCAGGGCGATGCCAGAGACCTGGGCCACAGAGAGAGAGAGAGAGAGGTCACTGTGTGCCATCGACCACCACTACATTGATAATAAAGTAAGGCTCCGTAGGACTTTGTGCTGCCCTGTGACCTTGCTCTGAGGTTGTCCAGAGAGCTGTGCATACGTGTGCGTGTCTGAGCGAGAGAGAGAGAGACGGCAATTAACTATTATCAGTCCTATTATTACAGTGTTATTACTCTTATTTGTATTACAGTCATGTTATGTTTGTTACATTTATTATTATTTTACACTATATGTTATAGGATGGATCGTTTTTCCGGGGGGTGTGAGCCAGAGAGAGGGAGAGAGGTACCACTGAGCCAGACCGGAGCAGATTGAGGGGGTCAAAGCTCCTTAACACCTTCAAGGTAAATTTACTCAGTTTTCAGGGCAGTATTTATTAACAGTCACGTCCCCAATATCTGTCTGACTAATAAATGTCAGCAACTATCTATCCCCGGCAAAACATCCTGCAGATTGGCTGCCGGGTTCAGCTGCAAGATACGCAGTCACTCCACTCCACGGTATCGAAGCTCTTCGCGACAAGTCAATGGTTCGGTATTGGGTGAGAGAGAGAGAGAGAGAAAAGAGAGAAAAAAAGAAAGAAAGAAAAGGAGAGAGAGAGAGAGAGGGGGTGGGGTTGGGGGGTTGGGGGGTCGGGGGGGTGGAATTACGAAGAGAGAATTGGAAATAGAGAGAAAGACAGGACGATGAACGAGTTCACAGCCGCACAGACAGCAACAGACGGTGGTTGGAAAAGCTGTAGAATAAAGTTCAGGGAAAGCAAAACAAATTCCAGTGACAAGTTAAAAAGGCCTCAAGTTTCACCCCCCCCCCCTCCCCCCCCCCCCCACACACACGTGTTACACACCGTGTCAGATACACAGTGTCTCTCCCTCCCCCACCCCAAACCACACACAGACACACTTTCCAACAGCATCGACCAAGCGGGTTTGGTTTGGTCTGGGGCCAGCTCACTCTGCTCAACAGGAACACGAGTGGGGAAGAAAGGCAAAAATAATAACTTATCAGTGTGAGATGAGTCAGATTTCCCGAACCAGTGTGATCGACGTTACCGGAAATTGTGTGAGCGTGCGCGCGCGTGTCTGTGTCAGCGTGTGAGTGTGTCCCGTGGGTTTGCGTGAGTGTGTGTGTGTGAGCGTGAGTGTGTGTGTGTTCGTGTGAGTGCATGTGTGAGCGTGAGTGCGCGTGTGTTTGCGTGAGTGTTTGCGTGTGAGCGTGCGTGTGCGTCTGTGCGTGAGTGTATGCGTGTGAGCGCGCGTGTGCGTCTGTGTGTTTGCGTGAGGGTATGTGTGCGCGCGTGTGTCAGTGTGTGTGTGTGCGTAGCCCCCGATCTCTTGTTCTGAATGCCTCTTAACGTGCGAGAGAGACAGCAGGCAGCGGGCAACACAGACCGTGGAGACTTAAGACACCTGATAGAAACAGAGTTGAGTTATGCCGCAGCTCCGTGTGGTGAAATACAGGCAATTCTCTGCATAGTTATCAGGTGACTACCACAAGCACAGGCTCGGACTAACAGCCAGTCCAGTCTAGTCAAGGCCCGCAAATGCAGTTCGACAAAAGATTTTTCTTTCTGAGTCACAATACGAGTCGGACGGTTTGTGGGTTTAGCTCCACTTTGCGAACCCTCAGAATCACATGTCTTGTTTTGCCCACAGTATAAACCCGCGGTTCACTGTACACTACATATCCAGCCAAGTTCTTCGAGACGTCTCGAAGACGTGACAAGGCGCTGCATCGAATGCGAGGGTCATTAGTAGTATAATTATTGTGAGGGGGTTTTGATAAGAGTAAATAGGGAGAAACTGTTTCCTCTGGAGGGTGGGCGGGAGGGTCAGGAACCGGAGGACGCAGATGTAAGATCATCGGCAAAAGAACCAGAGGGGAGACATTTCCCCCCCCCCCCAGGGAGTTGTTACGGGTTGGAATGCACTGGCTGGAAGGCTGGTGGAAGCAGATTCGATCATAATCCTCGCATTTGACCCAGCGCCTTATCACGTCTTCGAGACATCTCAAAGCGCTTCACGGGACACACTGTCAAGCAAATTGACTGTGTATTTTGTGGGCGAAACGCGGCAGCCGACCGCGCCCAGCGACGTCCCCACGAACAGTCGGGGTTTGAGTGACCAAATTTTTTTTTAAAAAAAAGGGGATTATTACCCCGGGGAAAGCGATCAGCCAATCGACTAATAAGCAGGTTCTTACTTAATGTGCTGGGTAAACCACGGTGCGTTCCTTCCCACCCCCACCCCCACCCCCAGCTCAGGTCTGAAATGCTGTCCTCTGTCTCCAGCACCTTGGGACGTCCTCCTGACGCGAAAGGCGCTATACAAATGTAATCTTGTTCTCGTTGTTGTTGTTATGTGTGTGTGTGTGTGTGTGGGGAGTAAGGAAATTTGCCTAAACTTTCCCCTGACACGTCCTTCTGGGAATCGAATCCGGGTCCTCTCGCTCGCAAGGCGAGTGGTCTAACCACTGAGTTACGGGAACTCCATTATTGAATGTGGCGTAAATCCAGCGTTTCCTGGTGTGTGTCAGATTTATAGGAGCGAGGCGGGTATGAGGCTGTTCAACAGATCACATTATTAATTACTGTGTGACAGGACTTACATAATGGACGAGGGAACGCAGTGAGGAGGTCGGAAACACCGTGACGTGCATTTTATACACAGTGCCTTTCACATCGCGAAGGTGCCTCCTCTCTTGGGGGGGGGGAGAGGGTTGGGATGATGGGTGGGGGGGGTCGGAGAGAGCAAGCACGTGACCCAAACAGCCACAAAGTGAAGGAACAACTATTGAATGACGCCCAGGTTCATAGAAACTCCCTTTACATCAGCCAGGCTCGCAGGAGAGTAGTCCGAAGATTGTGGGTTTGAGCCCCAACACGAGGGCCTTAAACTCGCGTAATACTGCCTCCATTCCATATCCTAACCTCCCCATGCGTTTCGTTTACCAACTGCTATAAAACCTCACACAAGTCCTATCAGTTGGGAGCCATATATTATATATATTTACCGCGGATTAAGTGACTTTGTTTTTAGTTTGGGGGGAAGTTGTCGGCTGGAACATTGGGAGAGAGAGAGAAAGAGAGCGAGAGTGAGTGATAAACTCCTTTCCCTTTACGAATAGGCCGCGGGAGATCTTTAACGTCCGCCTGAACAGGACACAGATGGGGTGGGGGGGGTTAGGTTTTAACGTCTCATCCGAAGGACGGTTTGTGTGGGATGTTGTGTAACACAGCAAAGAGTTTCCTCGTATCAGCGCCTGATGTAAATGGGCCCATGTGAGAGTAACTGCCTGTCCGTGCGGTGTCGAAACTTCCCTCTGCCATCTCCTATTTCATCAACTTTGTCATGTGAAGGCATCTCGCTGGTGTATCATTCATTTGGCTTACGGGGAGTGGGGAGTGGTGGGGGTGAGGTGGTGGGGGGGGTGGGGCGTAGGAAGCTGATATAAATCATTGACATTTATTAACTCCGTCTTCAATCCTTGGACCTTACTTAACTCCCTAATTTGTGCCCAATCAAATTACCCCGAGAAGCCAGAAACTCGATTTATCATCATAATAATCCTCGCATTTGATACAGCGCCTGATGAGGTCTTCGAGAGGCAGAGAGGGAGGGAGTGGGAGAGGGGGGGAGAACGAGGGAGTGGGGGAGAGGGAGAGAGGAAGGGTGGTGACCATGAGTAGATCTCCCCCCTTAGTCCTATCTTCTCTTTGCGTCGCCTGGGGTCAACTGGGGAGTGAATTGGAATTATTTTTAATACGTAAACTTTAAGAGCAACCGCCTCGCTCCCATCAACAGCGACGTCGACACAGTCTAAACAATTTGCTCTCAAGTGGATCTGGGAGGAAGAGAGTCCTGGGAAACCCATGAGCAGGAAAGGGAGGGACCCACAGATTGTATTGACCAAAGGAACGGACAATGTTTTTTTTACGCACACACACACACACACACAGACCAGGTACTGGTGGCAGGAAGTAATTTGTCCTACCCCCACCCTCCTACCCCCACCCTCCTACCCCCACCCTCCACCCCCTCCTGATCCCAACCCGCAGCTCGGGCCCAAATCACTGACTATCCAACCCCTTGGGATGTCCTGAAACTCTGGAACACCTTCCCTCGAATCGTCCGCATTGCCCCCGCTCTCCCCTTTTTCAAGTCCCGCTCGAAAATCTTCCTTCTCGCCCGTGTTTACGGTCACCTCCCCCCACCACCCACCCGCGCCCCCCTCACCCTCCCGCCACCCTGCCCAGGCTCAGAGTCAGGCTCTGCCACTCTTAAGCGCTCTGAGACATTACCCTGCGTGGAGGGCGCTGTGTAAATGTCATCTTGTATTGTTGTTGTTGGGAGACAGATCGAGTCGGGCTTTGGGACGTTCCAGGAGATCCTCTTTTTTGTTTAAAAAAAAAGGAAAAGAAGATACGAAAGAGAGAGAGAGAGAGAGAGACAGGAACGGACGGACGGGTGCGTTGGGAACGAAGTTGTCCATCTGTCAACCCGGAGGAAGGTAAGAGCCGACACAATTTCCGCTTTGTAGCAACGCAGTTAAACTTTGCTGCATTTCGCAACCCACCCCCCCACCACCCCCCCCACCCCCACTCCCCTCGTCTTGCGCACATCAAATCGAACGGTCACCTCAAAACCCAACTCATTTAACACGGCCTTCTCACGTTGCAATCTCGCTCCCTTTTAGACAACACGCTTCTTCGCAGGATATAATGTCAAGTGGATGTGTCCCCATGTGCCAAGACACCCGGCTAATAACCCCTCCCCCCCCTTCCCCCTTTCCCCCCCCGCCCACAAAAAACAATCCAACCCTTTGGCCTGCAAACGTTAAAGGTCCCAAACAGCAGAGAAGCGGCTAAACCTCCCCTCCAGGTCCTGCCGATGGCTGAGCCGGGCCGGGCCGGGCTGCCATCAGCAGTGAGTGCCCTGGAATACTGCGGCCCCTCCCAGGACTAG